AACAGGAGGATTCTAATAACACTGTTGATAAAAACCACGATGATTCTTATAATACTGTTGATAAAAACCATGATGATTCTTATAATACTGTTGTTAAAAACAGTAGGAGTCTAATAACACTGTTGATAAAACATGAGAATTTTAATAATACTTTTAATAAAAAAACTCAAGGTTTCTTATAATCCTTTCAATAAAAACCATGAAGATTCTAATAACACTGTTGATAAAAACCACGATGATTCTTATAATACTGTTGTTAAAAACAGGAGGATTCTAATAACACTGTTGATAAAATCCCCGATGATTCTTATAATACTGTTGATAAAAACAGGAGGATTCTAATAACACTGTTGATAAAAACCCCGATGATTCTTATAATACTGTTGTTAAAACCACGATGATTCTAATAACACTGTTGTTAAAAACCACTGATGATTCTTATAATACTATTGTTAAAAACAGGAGGATTCTTTTAGTGTTGTTGTTAAAAACAGGAGGATTCTAATAACACTGTTGTTAAAAACAGGAGGATTCCAATAACACTGTTGATAAAAACCACGATGATTCTTATAATACTGTTGTTAAAAACAGGAGGATTCTAATAACACTGTTGTTAAAAACAGGAGGATTCTAATAACACTGTTGATAAAAACCACGATGATTCTTATAATACTGTTAATATTAAAGATGATTCGAATAGCATTGCTAATAACAAACATAGGGGTTCGTTAAAAATCATACAAATTGGTTTATGCAGAATAAGAACTATGAGCAGTTGAAACGTTTCATATAATATTGTCTTCCAATTCAATACTTATAATAATAATAAAAATATTAAATATCAAGTAGCTTTTTAAAAGTTCTTCTTTCAAAGTTATAGTTAATATGTTTCTTCTTTTAAAGTTAGGGTTAATGTGTTTCTTCTTTTAAAGTTAGGGTTAATGTGTTTATTCTACTAGGACAGAAGACCTACTTATACTCCAGGATAATTGCAGCCAACTACCGAGGTTGGCTTGATTTCGACGTCACCTCGTCGTTACAGTTTTGGTCGAAGATGCCAGAGATGAACTATGGCTTCAAGATAGAAGTAGAAGATTCTTACGAAAGACGTCATGACCCAAACTTGTTCTTTGTGAATATAAACTGTACTGATGACGAAGGTAAGAAAAATAACTTTTCTGAAATTGGTTTCAGAAATTATTTAGTAACTTTTCTCTTATGATATTCTTGTTTACATGCTTCTTAGCTGTACATCTGTAGCAGGTTTTCTTTTTGCTCATACGTCTCTTAGATTTACATCTCTAGCAGGCTTTCTGTTATCGTTGTTTATTTATCACTAAGCTCTTGAATTATTTCATATATTTTAAGATTATAATTTATCAAAACTTTATTTATTTTGAAGTTATGGCTCACGTTATGGTGACCTAAATATCAAAACCTTTATATAAAAAAAAACATAACTCACAGGAAAACAGTTTTCATTTGGTTAGTGGCATGATACAGAAACACCCGAAATACTGCAGAATGTATTGAGAAATATGAGCATCCAATTTCCAATTGCTACAAAAAGGTATTGAAAATTTTGGACATCATGTTAAGTTTCTACAAGAAGTTATTGAGAATTGTGGACATCATGTTAAGTTTCTACAAGAAAGTACTGAGAACTGTGGACATTTGATTTTCAATTTCTACAAGAAGGTATTCAGACCTATGGCTATTTAATGTCCCTCATTAGCGCAACGCGCTTTTAATCTGCAACGTTTTAGATGACATCTATCCAGCATGGAAGTTAATTAACTCCAGTGCCATTTCAGGTGATATCTATCCTACATGGAAGTTGGTTAACTCCAGTGTCATTTTGGGTTATAACTTTCCAGCATGGAATTTGATTACCTCCAGTGTCATTTCAGGTGATATCTATCCTACATGGAAGCTGGTTAACTCCAGTGTCATTTCAGGTGATATCTATCCTACATGGAAGTTGGTTAACTACAGTGTCATTTTGGGTTATAACTTTCCAGCATGGAATTTGATTACCTCCAGTGTCATTTCAGGTGATATCTATCCTACATGGAAGCTGGTTAACTCCAGTGTCATTTCAGGTGATATCTATCCTACATGGAAGTTGGTTAACTCCAGTGTCATTTCAGGTGATATCTATCCTACATGGAAGTTGGTTAACTCCAGTGTCATTTCAGGTGACATCTATCCTACATGGAAGTTGGTTAACTCCAGTGTCATTTTGGGTTATATCTGTCCAGCATGGAATTTGATTAACTCTAGTGTCATTTCAGGTAACACATGCATATATATATATATATATATATAACTTACTTTGTGTTTTAGATTATTTTTAATTAAAGAATATTATAATTTGAATAACTTTATAATAAAATCACTTAGGGCTTCATTCCATCAATACTACAGCACTAGAGTCTCCGTTCCCGAATATTGAGGAACTTTATCCAGATATGGGGGAGAACGACTCCGCTGTCTTTGAAAATGAAACATTTCCCACCCTGGATCTGCGGACTGTAGAAATATCTCTTTCTTCTCATCAACCATTGACTCGTACGCTGAGCAAGAGACGAGTTAAAGACGACGAAATTGGGAACTCCGTAGTTTACCACGACTGTGATGTGAATGCAGAAGAATACACTTTACCAGGTGAGTATCTTCAGTAGAGCACACCTTACCAAGTTATTACTTTCAGTAGAGCACACCTTACCAAGTTATTACTTTCAGTAGAGCACACCTTACCAAGTTATTACTTTCAGTAGAGCACACCTTACCAGGTTATTATTTTCAGTAGAGCACACCTTACCAGGTGAGTATCTTCAGTAGAGCACACCTTACCAGGTGAGTATTTTCAGTAGATCACACCTTACCAGGTGAGTATCTTCAGTAGAGCACACCTTATCAGGTGAGTATCTTCAGTACAGCACACCTTACCAGGTGAGTATCTTCAATAGAGCACGCCTTACCAGGTGAGTATCTTCAATAGAGCACACCTTACCAGGTGAGTATATTCAGTAGAGCACACCTTACCAGGTGAGTATCTTCAATAGAGCACACTTTATCAGGTGAGTATCTTCAATAGAGCACTCCTTACCTAGTTATTATTTTCAGTAGAGTAAATCATTTGTATTGAGTAGAAGACACCATACCAAGTAATTGTCATCAGTACAGAGGTTATATTAAAATAATTTTACTCTTTATTTCGTCACGTACAACCATGCTCTGTCTAACGACCTTGAATCTTGACAGTATCTCTGTAGCGTAGATTGCATTTTTATGTACACCTTTTCTTCCTTCATGCCTTCTATAAACCATCTACTGTACGAAGACGTTGGTTTTCCAGCGCCCATTTTAAACAATCAGATCGCAGATACATCTTTAAATCCTGCTTCAGTCGACTTTACCAAAATGTTCTATTATGGAACAGTATGTATGCCCATTTGATTCTTCACTTGCGTGAGGTATGTGACATTTTAAAAAGTTTATCTTCAAAAAAACTTGTTCCACATTTCCATATGTAGCTTCTTCTTGATTATATTGCGTACTATTTATTGGGACACATGGACAAGTTTGGACACTGACTTTTATTTTAGCAGATTATCACCTGTTAAAGGACAATGTACTTTGTTCACCATGACTAGAGTATGACTTTTCACAGGTCTCTTTGTGGATGGTCCTGGTACCCTAAATTCATACATATTTCTTTGTTTTCTAATGCCATTAAGAACAATAAACGAGAATTATCCGAACTGAACACATCACGTTTATTATCTGAGTGTATGAATATTTTGCATCGGAAAGGACTTTTACGTATTCTTTCCAAAAATTTTAATGGTATCACACTATGTAGACAATGTCAGTACATAGTTTTGATACATTCCATTATTAAAAGACTTTATAATGCTGAAGTTGTCATTTGAATCATTAACTGGGATATTAAAGCTCGTTTTAATACAACTTTCTCCTAACGTTCTCAATCATCTGTATAGATTCATCTACACTGTGTTTTCTATACAGGTTCGCATGGTATAAATACAACTTACGACTTACTTTTACAGGGTTGTCTCTAGGATTATAGTTTGCATATTTCATTTTGAAGAGTTTCCAGTTCTTATGCTGTCAATAAGAAGGTTGTTCGCTAAGAAACGTTTAACAGATCTGATAGTTACGGAATGTGACAATGCTTTCGTAAACCAAGTAAAATAAGTTTATCTTGGACATGCATTTTATTTTATATGTGTTAATAATGTCTAAGTATCGAGGTTATTGTACTTATTGAGTCATGTCTTCTTATCTTTCTTCTATTCTTCATATTCTTATTATATGAAAATCAAACCTATCACTTTTTTCAGAAGATATCGTTGAGGGAAAGACAATCATTTCGTCCACAAGAATAGGCCACCTTTCTTGTTCGAACACATGTACCAGACATGCTGTTAATGATGTCCAGCCAGATGACCTCTGTAACAAGAACAACAAGGTAAGTATCTACAATAGAAAAATTTTAATTATGTACAACCAGATGACCTCTGTAACAAGAACAACAAGGTAAGTATCTACAATAGAAAAATGTTAATGATGTACAACCAGATGACCTCTGTAACAAGAACAACAAGGTAAGTATCTACAATAGGAAACTGTTAATGATGTCCAGCCTGATGACCTCTGTAACAAGAACAACAAGGTAAGTATCTACAATAGAAAACTGTTAATGATGTCCAACCAGATGACCTCTGTAACAAGAACAACAAGTTAAGTATCTAAAAATGAAAAATGTTAATGATGTCCAGACAGATGACCTTTGTAACAAGAACAACAAGGTCAGAATGTGCAATAGAAAAATATCAATGTAGGAGCGGCGTGTTGCTGGTATAGTAGTAACGTAGGATTGTTGTATCTATATGAAAATAAAGCAAATTATATTCAATTGAATAGAGTTGTTTAAACATTTTTCTAACAACAAGTAAAAGCTTGGAATGGTTTATTCTTTCATTAGGGGTGTGTCTGTTTGGCCAGACACTTAAGTACACCATTTAGATTTTCGATACCTCATTACTATAAAGGCTTGCTTTGGTCTGAAGTTTCATTTGTTGGTAGTGTTTAGGATCACTGATGAAGAGTGGAATTCTCTAAAACTAGTCTGGCCTGCAGACACACCCCCAATGAAAGAATAGATCATTCCAAGCTTTTACTTGTTGTTA